ACTTGATTTGATAAGTTCCTACTGACTTGATTTGATAAGTTCCTACTGACTTGATTTGATAAGTTCCAACTGACTTGATTTGATAAGTTCCAACTGACTTGATTTGATAAGTTCCTACTGACTTGATTTGATAAGTTCCAACTGACTTGATTTGATAAGTTACAACTGACTTGATTTGATAAGTTACAACTGACACTTTTTGCTGTTTATAGCCAATAAACGTCAAAACGGCTGAACCGATTGGGCCCAAGTTTTGGCACCTCCCATGATCTCTAGGGAAGTGTTATGGTTGATCAAGATTTAAAAATTTGTCTCTATGAAAATTCGATTTTCATTAAATGTTTGAAGATCCTAGAATTTTTTTAAAATCCACGAACTTTTTTTATTTTTGTTTTACAATGTTTTAAGCGATAATGTTCACACTTGAAATAGAAGATGAGCGCGAAGCGCCCTAAAAGTCTATTTTTATATTTAAATTTAGATATATGAGATCTCTCAGGTTAATATTGACGGATTTTAAATAAGGTCTAAGCAATGTATGTCTTGAAATATTCCAATTTACGAAAGTTAGTTTGTTGAAACATAAAAGAAAGAATTGGGAGTTTTTACACAATAATTGTTTTAACCAATTTTGAATTATATTCTCATCTGTTTCTTTTGAATAAAAAACATTGAAGGGAGTGTTCATAAATATCTGCAAAGGGGTATTTAAGGGCAAATCTCTGAAAACAAATTATTTTACGCACCTCTGACCCTTTAGTAAAAGTAAATTCAACCAAAAGTCTGACCGCGTCAACCTTGTTGCACCGGCTAGTCCTATTGAGTGTCTGCTTTATTTTACCTAATGTCCGGGGGATGCAGTACAAACTGGGACCGGAAAAGTTGACCCGGCTCGGATATTCAAATGTACTTCGGCTGCCCGTGATATTTTCTATTGGTTAATTCTTCATTGAGTATTTGAGAAAAATCTTCCACAATATATCTTAACAATTTCTTTTATTCATGTTGAGTCGGAAAATAATAATCGATGAATATTTACGATCTGCTCTGAGCATATTTTTCAATTCAATCTAATCTAATTTAGAACAAACCTTATACTCTTTCCTAACTGGAAAACATAGTGATAATGATTATAATGGTTATAATAATAATAGTAATAATGATAATGACAAAAATAGCAATACCAATAACAATAACAATAACAATAACAATAAAAATAAAAATAACAATAGCAATAACAATAACAATAACAATAACAATAACAATAACAATAACAATAAAAAAAAATTATAATAACAATAACAATAATGAAAATGTTATTTCAGGTGACCAAATAAAGCTGGTGGAACAGTGAAAGATGTACGCAATTACAGCTTGATGTGTAACCCAACAGTACCGTACGCCATTACAGTTAAACGTGTACCGAGCAGTACAGTATATGCAATTACAGCTAGCCGCGTACCCAGTGTACAGTACAACTTAACACTTTTTATGTACAAAATTGAAAACTTAACACTAAGTTTTATTCTGCAAAAACTCCCGTTTATTTTAATTATATTTTGGAAATTTATTTTTGGAAATTCTTTGAAAGGAATGAATTTTAAAGAAAGTAAGGATTAAAGTAAAAAAGGAAAGGGGAGGGGTGGCGATATGTGAATTAAGTTTTTAATATGTCTATGCAAAACAGCAGGAAAAGAAAATTTTAAATTTTAATCAAATAAACCAATTATATTACAACATTTACTACTCTGTTTCAAAGCGTCTGCATATGTTTAACATAAAATACCTTTTTGTAACTTTAAGTCGGAAGAGGATTAAAGTCTTAAACAGTCTTATACAGTGATAACCAGAAAACAATGGAAAAGAAAGACGACATTATAGCAATACTTAAACGTTTTGATGTTGTTGCAAAGCAAATATTTTTACAAGTAACCTAGCAAAACACAATTTAAGTGAAAAGGGTCTATTTAAGTCATAACTCGAGTTTAACAGTGTTTTCTGGTTATCATTGTGTATATATTAATTTGGGAAAAAATTTAAAAATCTAATTTACCAGAACTTGAATTTTGGACTAAAATAAATTTTAAAGTATTTTCCCGTTTTTTTTCATTTAGCTTAGAGTAGAATTTTACAATCTCGTTTTTAAACTCCTCTGCTTATGAACATTTTCGTATTAAAGAGACTGTAAAGGTAATTTCGAGTGACAGTCCTTGCAAAGAGTGAAATCCCCGATTTACACCGGTACCCTTAAAAGCATGAAGCATGATCAAGCATGAATTAGATATCCATGTTAATAATTCTGAAAATAAATCATTTTCCATTGTGAGTTCTCTACAAAAGTTACTCGCGCATTTAAACCGCATAAATATAGAAATAATCAGAAATGAATATATCCTTCACATTATTGATCAGATAAAGGTTTCAAGGGTACCGTTGTGAATTGGAAATTGCCATGAAGGGTTACTTCAAGATGGCGCTTACAGTCCATTTGAGGTTTCCGGAAGGAAAAGTTTAAAATTTAAAGTTAAGGAGCGCATCTAAACTTGACACGCTGATTGGTTGAATTTTAAACTTTTTCTTGGATATCGAATGCGAATTTCTCGGGTTTAGTAAACCAGGAGATCAAGCATTGATCTCAATATACACAATTCAAAAGTTTTCAGCTCAGGCCGTTTTTCTAGACAAGGAGAATGACCCTATTTCTTTATCCTTTTCGCAGTATTTAAAAATAAAATACTTCAAAAGCAAAAATATAAAAACAACGTTTATTTAATATTTATTTTTTCCTTAAAAGTTTTAAATCTTTATAAACTGTGCTTAATCGCATGCTGCAGATATAATTGCTGGAAGCATGATTTTCAGCAGCTCACCAAATATAGAATAATTTCTAACAATTTTATTTCGAATAATTATATCTGCAGTTGGTTGATTTATATAAAAAATATAAATAAATAATGGGATTTAATTTACCCCATGCATTTATAGAGGTTTCATAATATTAGTCTTTACAGCTGTATTTGATGATTAAATATCATTATTCTTTAAAGGAACAAAAGTCGAACAATCCAATAAAAATTCATTTCAAATTACAGTCCCTTTAAGCATAGCTATTCATATTTATTAATTAATATTCAATTCCTATGTGTATATAAAAAAAATCTGCCGATTTCTTCATGTTCCAAATTGCTTCGCAATATGTGCTTCTATATTTTGCATTATGTTTTAAAAACTGCGGTTTTATGTTTTCTGTTAATTTTTACAATTGATATAGAAATAAAAATTTATTCAAAATCTACTTTTCATATTATTAGTTCAAGGACCGAATTTAATGAATTTGAGCTGTGTCGAACTACCTACAGCCGGTTCAAATCTAGAATCAAAGATTTAAAGAAAAAGGTTCATAAGGATTTGAATCAGAGATTCAGGACTTGAACCAGCAGTAAGAAGTTCAGCAACCTCTCTCCAACTCATAAAATTCCGTCTTAGGTCAGTTATCTTTAGTATTGGTAGTGATTATTAAACTACTGATCACAAAAAAGATCCAACATTTTTAATAGTTACAGAGTATTTTACTCAGGCCTAAAAATCAGGAATTAAAAAACAAAGATTCAAATACTGTACTTTTCAGCTATGGGACATCTGCAGGACAAAACCTAAATAACCGTCCTATTGTCCTATAGACGTAAACAACTACACTGCAGAACTACATACAAGTACATGAATCGACAGAAGGTAGTTCAGCCATCTAGTTCAAATTCATTAAACTTGGTCCCTGGTTTCTTTTACAATGATTTTTGAAATTCTTAAAATGTTGTTAACCTAGAAAGCTAGAAGATGAATGATGCATTTTTTTAACCAAACTTGACCTTTCAAACCTTTTAAACGAGAGAAGCACTCTATAAAGACTTGAAAATCACTCTATAAAGACTTGAAAAGCACTCTATAAAGACTTGAAAAGCGCTCTATAAAGACTTGAAAAGCACTCTATAAAGACTTGAAAATCACTCTATAAAGACTTGAAAAGCACTCTATAAAGACTTGCAAAGCACTCTATAAAGACTTGAAAAGCACTCTATAAAGACTTAAAAAGCACTCTATAAAGACTTGAAAAGCACTCTATAAAGACCTGAAATTCACTCTATAAAGACTTGAAAAGCACTCTACAAAGACTTGAAAAGTACTCTATAAAGACTTGAAAAGCACTCTATAAAGACTTAAAAAGCACTCTATAAAGACTTGAAAAGCACTCTATAAAGACTTGAAAAAGCCTGATAAAAGTCACACAAATGATTTGGCAAAAATAGTTTACAAGCTTGTATTGATATAAAATAACTGTATTTAAAACATCCCACCCCCCTTACTTCCAGTCTAGACTTATTGGGAGGGGGGATTCCCCCCCCCTTCCTTTCCACACCCCCCCTTTCCTCAACCTTTTCTATTTAAAGATAAAATTTTCTAGTTTTGAACTTAAGTTCTAAACTTGTGTAAAATATATTTGATCAATATATCCGACATGCAATACTTTCCTTTCATCTACTCATTCATTTATTCAATCATTCATTCATTTATTCATTCATTAATTCATTCATTCATTCATTCATTCATTAATTAGTCATTCCTTCATTCATTTATTCATTTATTCTCCTCATAATAATTCATCGTACCATTTCCAAAATATGTTCTGCCATTTTTGTGTTTTTACAGCTATCGGAGAAATGAATGATTTCGTTCAGAATGAGACATTTTCAGGGTTTTATTTAATTAATTGAAATTTACATTAATATCTCTAGTAATTTTGAGACCAGATTTAGTAAATGGCAGGATTAGGGGTATTCTGTGATTATTGTTTCATAAAATAATTTTGCTAAAATCAGGTTACAAATGTTGAATGCCGCAAAATATTTCTAAGGTCAAAGACGACTTGAAAGTATCAATCAATTAACATTATTTCGGCGTATTTAGACTATCACTTAAAAAAGAATGAACAATTTTGAGAAAATAAACAATAAACTGATTTGTTGGACATATGGCTTGAAACAACATAGATATTTTTGTGAAGGGCGGTTAGTGTAACATTCTTACAGACACATAGGATAGAATTCAGGATTGTATTACATCCGCCCAACGTTACATCCGTCCTACGATACTTCGGACCTACCCGCACGTGGTTTCTAAGCAGCTGTTGGTCCGATGTACTCTAGGTAGGAATACACACTTCATTGAAAAAAGAAATGAAAGTAGTACCAATCGATTTATAGTTTGACACAGGGTGTCCCACAAAACATGACAGTTGGTGAATAGTTTTAAATGTCTTCTTCCATAATTTGTTAAGTTGTTTGATACCAAAGATAATGAGAAATACAAAAGTCAGTAATATTAGAGTAAAACTGATTTCAAACAAATATATATTTGAGTAAAAGATTTGTTTAACGAATTAAACTGCAACATCCTGTAGTTCTTTACATTTATTGTCTTATCTCTCTTTAATTAGTAATGAAATCATAGAATAAAGGGATTGGTTCCTTCTTTTTAATCCTTTGTTTTAAAAAGTTTTTGAAGTTAAGAAATTAGAAATTTCGTGAATTTTATCATTGATATCCGCTTTTTTATTACAATCAAGCATGACTCAGTTAACAAAGTTTTATCTCTACTAAATTTTAAATAACTAGGGTGGGAACTGGAAACCCAGCGTTGCCCATAGTTAGTCCAACCGTTTACCCGCGCTTTGTCGTAAATTACAGTTTTTGCTAATTTTCACGATGAACTACTCAATTTAGAACCAATCTTAGAAAATTTACGTGATTCTCCCGAGTTCTAATTTTGGGACAAATCGGTCCAGAGGTTCCTGAGTTATGATCGGACAGACAAATAGAGATTACAACTTTATCATGTGAACGTACAAGAATTACTAAATCCACGGAATTTCTAATTCCAAAAGGTAGAGGTCAGAGGATTTTCCAATTCAGCATTAAATCAATTTCTGCCCTCAGCAGCAGCTATAATTTGTTTAATAAATCAATTTATTTCAAAATATTTTCTATTTTATTTCAATCATCAACTTTTTATCACAGTTTTAATCTATAAGCAATCAGGGGTAGGACTTAAAAAAAAAAAAAAATTAAGTTAAAAAGCAAAATGTGTTCAAATTCTGAGGTTTAGACCCCTGAGATCGCTTTAGCTTTAATTGGCTGGATTATAAATACATAATTGATGTGCACTTGCGAAGGAAAAACGAATACTTAAACCAATAGATTGAGTTTTTAATTTTACTATGTTGCCGACTACCATTAAGAATTTGAATCAAGTTATCAACGGTGGTTCACCGTACGTTCATGTACAGTAGGGTGAGTACAGTACGAACAGTACATAATATCTAGTCCACGCTCACAACTTGCCGTCTTTCCTAAGAGTAAAATGATTTTAAAGAGATTATTCAAGAAATTTTGTGGCTAGACACCCTTTCAAGGTTTGCAAGAGTACCCTTTACTATAAATCTGATAAAAATACAAATATTTTATTTTTCACCAGATAGTGTTTTTTAAAGTGACCCAATATTTAGTTCCATGACCGATTCACAAAGATACCTTTCAAACCTTTATCTGGGAGTAAGAAAAAGTAAGATACTCACGCATCTTTGACCCTTCAGTAAAAGTAAATTCAACCTAAAGTCTGACCGCGTCAACCTTGTTACACCGTCTAGTCCTAATGTATGCCTGCTTTATTTACCCAATGTCCGGGCGATAAAGTACAAACTAGGACCGGAAAGGTTGACCCGGCTCGGAAATTCAAATGTAATACGGCTGCCCGTGTACTGTCGTTTTTTCATCTAGAGAAGACATAAATTCTATCCATGCATTAATCCACGTGTCACTCTTAAACAGGATCTCCGATGAATTTTATCATTTATCAAATAGGAAAACAAGGATATCTCCATCATTTTTGTTTAGACAATCGTTAAGATACTCTATAAAATAAGAGTTACTAAAATTTAAGTGTATAGTCCCTTTCATAAAAACTTGAAATTACCTCATGTTGACTTTTTGCAAAATTAATCTTGTCCGCAACATTCAATGCAATCAAACTACTCTCACACAACACCTAAACCAGGCTTGCAATTATTCTAGGAACAAAAAATCCATCTTTGGAATGATTTGGAAATTTTTCCGAGAAAACTGGATTTCCGGAACACTTCCGGATAAAATGGGAACAGGAATTCCGGGTTACGGAAAAAAAAATTTCCGGAATGGAGCCGGAATTATTTTTTTTTCTTTTATTAACTCTTCTTTACACAGAGAAAAAAAAAAAATTTTAAACTGTCTTTATTAAAGAAAAAATATTTAAATCTAAAAAATGAAACGATACATAATGAATGCATGAATAAATGTATAAATTTAAGTAAAAATGAATTAATGCATTATTTATAAATGAATGAATGCAAAAAAGATAAACCACAAATCAACCCCAATATAATTGCTTACGTTTATTATGAATGAATAGAACAATAAATGTTTATTGAATGAATGAATAAATAAATGTATAATGAATGAATTAGTGAATACAAGGATGAATGTAAGTACCCGTGGACGTTTAATAATAGGCGGAGCTAAGCCAGGAGTAGGTTCAGTCCGAAGAATCAGCTCCAGGTAGTGTACTGTACTGCCCTGCTCCTAAACAATAAAGTGTACTGTAATGCCCTGCTTCTAAACAATATAGTGTACTGTACTGCCCTGCTCCTAAACAATAAAGTGTACTGTACTGCCCTGCTTCTAAACAATTTAGTGTACTCTACTAACCTGCTTCTAAACAATATAGTGTACTGTACTGCCTTGTCAGTCTTGTACAATTTCGAGTCTGTATTTATCTTTATTTTAAATGTTTTACTTCTATCTCTGCGGAACATTTTAAGTTGCTTACTTTTCATCTGTTTCTGTACTGTGGTCGGAACTTTAGTGTGGGGTTTAATTACTATTGCAAGCTTAATCTCGATATTCATTTTGGGCACTTATAAAAACTGGGGATAAATATCTATACTTGATGTACTTCTTTTCATGTATTTCTTTTCATGTACTTGCTGTACTTTTGTATCTGAACTTGCTGTACGTTTAAATGTCTATACTTGCTGTACTTCTGTATCTACACTTTCTGTACTTCAGTATCTATACTAATTGTACTTCTGTATCTACACTTTCTGTACTTTTGTATCTATACTAATTGTACTTCTGTATCTGTACATGCTGTACTATTGTATCTGTATCTGTACTCTTGTACCTGTATCTGAAGAGACTGTGCTGTAATAATATCAGAGTAGACGAGAGTCTCTACCACCTTCTCCCTACCTTCAACCAGCTTGAAGATAAACACCTTCTCACTGCTCACCTTCACAATCAACTCAATTCATTTCAATTTAATTCAATTCATTTAAATTTAATTCAATTCATTTAAATTTAATTCAAGAAGCTAGGGATTATCTTAGGGCTCCTTTATCAGGCTTTTCAGCCGATACGTCGGACTCACACATCAAATCAATATGAGTTTATTCAATATATCTGTTGGAAGTGTATAATATATTTTATATTTTTAATATATACATTTAAAACAATAACAAGCATAAATCATGTGATGAAATTTTAATTAAATTAGACATATACCAGATTGTTACCGTACTTTGTCTGACATATATATGTATTATCAAATAGATGGCAACGTAGAATTTACAAACAACTGTATTCTCACGTCAGCAGTTTTGTGTGTCCGACAAAATTTTTAATAATAGTGACCATGAAGTGCTTATCTTAAAGTAAAATAAGTGCAATTTTGTGTTTTTATTTTCTGTTTTTACACATTTTTATTTAATCTTAGAAAACATCTCAACTAATGGGAAGATAATGCTGTCTTCCTTGTTATATTTGACATGGCCTCGTGTATAATAAGTGTATTTCTCTGTTACCACCAATTGTGCTTGATAATCAATTTGTGTATTATATTTTACTATATTATATTTTGGCGCTTCACTAAATAACGTAAAAGGGTTCCAAAGTAACTAACATATATTTAACTTTTAAGATACAAGATAAAAAAGGTTTTATATATTTTCACATGGTATTACATTGCATTGCATTGCATGCATTACATTACATTACATTACATTACATTACATTACATTACATTACATTACATTACATTACATTAACTTACCACAATCATTTGATCCTGACTCAGCATCTCAAAAGCAATAAACCTTTCATCTACATTCTTCCCATTGATAGCATACAACCAGGCTTGTCCTTATATATTTTTTATTCATTTCATGCCGGGTAATTATTTTCTTTTCTTTAATAGTTCCATCCAGGTTAATAATATTCTTTATTAATTTCATCCGGGGTAATAATATCCTTAATTAATTTCATCCATGATAATAATATTCTTTATTACATTGGGAGAAATACTATTATTTTAAAAAATTTCATTCTGTTTTATGTTTTTCTTCTTTAATTTCATCTGGGGTATTAATTTTCTTCATTAGTTTCATTCCGAATCATTATATACTTTATTAATTTCATCCAGGGTAATAATATTCTTTATTATTTTCATCTGTAGTATTAATATTATTTAGTAATGTCATCCGGGGTAATGACATATTGCAATAATTTCATTCTGGGTAGTTATATTCTTTAATAATTTTATCCGGGGTAATAATATTTTGTAATAATTTCATTCAGAGTAATTAAATTCTTTATTAATGTTCTCTGGGGTGAAAATATCCTTCAATAAAATTATAATAATATTTTGTATTAATTTTATCCAGGGTAATTAGATTTTTATTTATGACATCTGGGATAATAATATAATATTAATTTTCATTAAAAATGATATTCCTGGTAATTTGTTCTTTATTATTTTCCTCTGGAGTAATTATATTCTTTATTCATTTCTTCTGGAGCCTAGGTAACATTTTAACCGACAATAGTTCTGATGTCAAAAATGTTGGGTAAATAATTCTGGACTTTTGATGTTCAACTTAAGCATGGTGGAGACTAAATGTCTGCAGGGGGTATTAATATTCTTAAATAATTAATCCGGAATAATTATAATCTTAATAATATTTTGTAATAATTCTGTACTTAATGTTTACCTTTTGCATCCTCAACACTGTATGGGGTAAGGGTTCCTACATGTCCCTGGCAGACTCGTGGTAACCTGACCCGGCCTGGGGCAGACCTAAACAGTGTACAAATACAGTACAATAAAACAATTTACAAGAACACTTTACCAAGTACTGTGAACACCTTCATATTAAATAAAATCACAGGTTGCAGGGATGACTTTCAATATGGGATTAAACATTACAAGACCTGAGCTGACTGCTAAATCCAAATATCCACTGTGGAAACTTTTAATTTTTGTCAGTGATCTACTCTTCTTCTCTCTATTTGGGTATATGTATGTCATTTTCTCCAATGAGAGTGCAGGAATATAGTAGGTAAATTGTATTGACCAATGACAGCCTTGAAAATAAATTCTATCCAATGAAAGACCTCTGCAATTTTCAACAAATAAACAATTTGTTGTCGGCCATTTTGTAAATTAATTGGTGAAGAAAAATATGTAATAATACATTTGAGATTCTTTTTTAACATATTTAGACTAATTCTCATTAATAAATAAATGGGTGTGAAATTAAGTAAAGGAAGGCCCTTCCAGTCATGAAAACGAACAAATCTGGCGTTCCTAGAATCAAATTTGTTGATCTAAAAATTTAATCTTGAGACAAACATAATCTCAAGATTATGTTAGTCTCGAGATAAGAAAAAAGAGAGGATTAAGTATTAATCCTGATATCCACCATTCTAAAGTTCCCAGCTCAGTTAACCCAACCTGATAAAGACCTAGACAACACAAGAAACTTAAACAGTACAATATGGGAATAAACTAGTTGACCAGACCAGGCTCAGACCTTCACAGTCAATTTTTACAGAAAAATCTGCAAAATTTTAAGTTCAACAATTACAAAGAAAAAAAGCTGCTTGGAAGGCAACAATTAAACACTTAAATGGTTGCTATAAGGGAGGCGCAAAGCCTAGTATGTAATATGTGCACTGTGCATTGCAATAATCATCAACAATAAAATAGTTTGAGAAACTTCTCTAATCTCTATATCTATCTAGCTAGGAAATGAATATGGTATTGGTTTCTAATATCTAGCTAAGGTCCAAATTTAAATAATATATGAGATCCTGGCCGCATAATACTATCCCTTGCATCTAGTGGGAGAGAAGACCTAGCGTTGGGCATTGATTATATAAAGTTTTAGATTTAGCTAAGCCTTGTGAACATATTGTTGTAAATTTGTGACTTATTTAGTCAGCAAATATTGTAAACGAGGCCGGCTTTGTGTTGCCATGAGAAGGGCAGGTGGACAGGGCCCATTGTAATTAATTTTCATTCTAATCTAGATCTAGGAAGACAAAGATAATGAAAGTTACATCTGTTAAAAATATTAGAAAATCTAATGCATAGAATATGAACTATTATGTTCCTCAGTGAGAAGATATCTGTATTTTAATGGGACAAGAATGACTGCGGAACAGACATTCACCCATTTATTTCATGTGTTTTACATATTTAACTATGACAAAAGTTTTATTGTATTGCTTGAGATCTGGCCATTTATTGTTGTGAAAAAAGATTTTCCAATTTTTTTGGAAAACAAATGTTTTTAAGGAAATGTTAAAAAAGGTACAAATATTGAGTAGTAACACTAGTTATAGAGGGGTATGGGTTGCTTACAATTTACATTCTACTTTGACATATATGGACAATTATAAAACTGATAAACAACCTTTTAGTAAACTATATGACTGCTTCAGGCCTGGGCCTACTGCACCTTTTAGGACCGGATTATGAATAGCATTGTAGGTTAATTGCAAGGAAGTAATTAAAAAATGACCGGATTTAATGAATAGAGTTATAGCTAAATAGTTGTGGTTGAAATATGTCTAAGCGGTTCAACTGGGTCTTGCCAATAATTATTGGTACTTGGGGCGTATAAATTAATTTGTTGAAGGGCCTTAAAAGTCAATAGATTTCTAGGGTGGGGCTGACCACCATAGCCGGCATATCTGTTTCTCTCCTGTATTATGTACCATAGCCCAGAATATTGCAGAGATTGAAACTTCTGTGTCAATATTTTTAATTTTGAACATCTTAATATACACTGTTGTCACTTTAAGTTTTAAGATTTATAAAAACTACTTTTCCATATCTTCATTTTATTTCATCGAGTTCATGGAAATCAAGTATTTATCTTAAAATCCACAATACCAGAGTTCCAAGCTCAGGAAGAGTTTGTTTATGTCAAGAAACTAGTCAATAGTTCAAAATTATTTATGACTATCCTTCCATTACTCTCCAGGGAGTATATCTTTCTATACATCAAGGAAACTCAGTAACAGGAAATATTCTAAAGGGACTGTTAGTGTAATTTTAAGTGACACTTAATGCAAAGAAGGCAATATCTGATTTACAAAGAAAGCTATGAAACCATTATCTAATTAATAATGATGAACATATGATCATGTTTCCAGATTGGAAAGGTTTAAAATCTGATTTTCTGCAGTAAAAATACACAAATAATTTTTGTAGAGAAACTATACTTGAAAATAATCATTTTTCGAGATTATAAACATGGCTGTCTAATTCATACTTGATTAGATAGTTATTTTTGCGGGGTTCGGTTGTGAATCGGGCATTATTATCTTTGCATGGAGGGGTCACTTGAAATTATGATTACAGTCCTTTGTTTTGGTACTTTTGACATGAAAACTCAATGATGATTCCTGTGTTTCAATTTTCTTTGCTTTGCTACTCATGAAATAATCATAAATGGTGCATTGTATTATTAATTCATAATATTCATTTCCCCCAATTCAGAGAATAAAACCCTAAAAAATAACTTCTGAAAAAAATGATATTGAAGAATATATACACCCAAGTATTTAAGAACAAAAACTTCAAACTAGTAAAAAAAATGCACCGCTAAAAACAAAGGCAGTGTCATAAAGTAAACAGCAGAATTATAATTAAAAAGTTTTTGTTTACAACTATATCTATATAATAAAACAAGACATTCGTATATATATATATATATATATATATATATACAAAACACCAAAGTACAATACAGTACGCTGAACTTAACAGAAATAAATTACAATACACAACAGTACAATAAAGAACACTATACTTTAAAGCACTGTACATCGTAGTACGCCAATAAAAAATGACACCATTTAAATAAAAAGTTTTAGGTGCCAAGATTAACAAAATATCACAGGAAAAATGTATTTATTTAATTTATTGAGAAAGAAAAACCCTTGAATGATTCTATAAACTTAAACAATAAATTATAAACTTTATACTAATACAGCATACACCTTCTATACACATTACACATTCCATACACCTTCTATACACCTTCTATACACCTTCTATACACCTTCTTTAAACCTTCTATACACCTTCTATACACCTTACACATTCCATACACCTTCCATACACCTTCTATACACCTTCTATACACCTTACACCTTCCATACACCTTCCATACACCTTCTATACACCTTCTATACACCTTCTATACACCTTCTATACACCTTCTATACACCTTCTATACACCTTCTATACACCTTCTATACACCTTCTATAAACATTTTACACACCCTTATGTGCACTGTGCATTGCAATAATCATCAACAATAAATGGCTAAATAACTAAATGAAATGATTAACTAAATAACCAATAAGCTGGAGAGCCTGGCGTTGCCCGTGGCATAAAAAACTAATTTGAAAAAATTTAAAAAATCTTTTATTTTTATTTTTTAAGTCTATATTACCGGGGGTTTCCTCAAAAAAGTTCAGCCCATTCGGTTTATAGCTATAGCTGACATTTAAATATATATGAGCGAAGAGCTTTATTATAAAGATAAACCAGGAACTGACTAAAAAAATTTACCTATGCCCAGTTCTACTAGACTCTCTTACAGCACTAGCCGCCCCTAGTGAAACCCAATTATAAGTTTTTTTTTAAAATAACAAAAATAAAATAAAAATGCAAAGATGTCGAAAAACTTATTTGTTTTTATCAATACTGAAAAGTTAAGTAAATAATCTATTCTAAACCCTCAAAATATTGAAATGAAAAATCATTTTGAAAATTTATAAAAATGGTTCCTGTAGCAAAGTCTAGGAGTCCAATTGCAGGTTTTGTGACTGTTCCCACCACTCCCAGTCCCACACCTGAGAGACAAAATGACAAAAATATAACAATTTTTTTTCCAACTAAAACAATCAGTTATAAAAATTTAATTAGTAGTAAAATAGTAAAAAAAATAACACATACAAAACTAATTCTATTTTTTAACACTATCAAGTAAAAATCAAATGCAAAATTTCTTAAGCCGAATTTATTTTTTGGAAAAACTGAAAATTGTTTTTTTCCAAGGTAAAGGAAGGGGCGGAGGAAGGAGGGGGCGGAAAACGTGACCCTTCATTTCCAGTTCACACCGGTGCGCTTAAAAGCTCTGTCTGATCAAGTTTGAATTAGATATTCGTNCATTCTTGAACTATTGATTATATTCATCTGTATCTTCTGCAAAGATATATTCAATTAACTAGACTATTAAATCGCAGTGCCTCATTTCCCTTTTCAGTTCCGTCCTTGTGAGAAGTACCTTGGAAGAATCCTGTAACACCCTCCATGCGTGCACCTTCAAAGGGTTCTGTGATCATAGATGTGAGTCCCCCCAGAACACCAAACCCAAGACCTAAAAATATTCAAAAAAATTCAAAATAGGTTTTCATTTGTTTGAACCTGAGCTGGCAACTTTTAAATGGACAAAAGAGCTTAAATATTCCGTCAACATAGATTGACACCCATCTTTTGTTAATCCTTCTTTTTATTCAAAGTTACCAGACTCGGAGTTTAAAAATTTCAGTTAAAGGGAGTGACCGGCTATGTCGTCGTTATTTAATAATTTTAAAAAAAGTAGGAGTTTTGAACGTCGAATTTGCGCTCAAACTCAGGATTTACAGATCTTTTAAAAGTTTAATATGTCTCAAATGAATCCGAAAGAAGTACTCTCTGAATGTTTCTTTCTAATCATCAGCCTTCTTTCATCATATCCCTGACGAGAAATAGAAAAGTGCCAAAAACTATTTAACAAAATTCAGACAAAAAAATCACAAATTGAAAACATTAAAATTGCAATATAATCATACAGAGGAATTTTTAATAAAACCAGATCTGAAAACTTTAGAATGAGATATCCTGAATCCCGAATACTTAATCTGAGTATCCACACTTTTTATTTTCTTCTTAAACCGTCTTTTCTTGGATATAGTAGAGAAAAATCCAAAACCGGTTTTTTTAATTTAGAGAGTTCCTCCCATTTCTGTATAAAATCTTAAATGGCGCGCAAAATTTCAAATTTATCGGCTTCATATACGCGACTCTGATTGGTTGAATTGTATACACTTTTCAGGATATAAGTACAAGATTAGGATGGTCTCGATATTAAGAAAAACAGAGGATCAAGCATTAATCTTAATATCCACAATTTTAAAGTTTTCAGCTCAGAGTGCATTGTTTTAACATTTTTAACATAATGTTCTGGCAAAATAAAAGAATGTTTTCTTTCTTCTATATGATTTTCAATACTGCAAACTTTTAAAATTTAAATTAAAATAAACGCAATCTCAATCCTTGTTTTCTGTCAGAAAAGTGATTATTCACAATTGCGTTTTCTTAATTAAGTAAATGATTCTACGTACACTGCACAATTGATGTGTTTTATTTGCATTGATTGTCAAATGTCCAATCATAACTAACGAAACCCCTTCGCCGATTTGCCACAAATGCATTTTCTTAGCTTGGTTTTAAAGTTCTAAGTTGAGTGAATTGATTATCAATCAAGTATATAATTTTACGATTTTAAGACGCAGATTCTTCATAAACTTCCTCCCTCCACACACACACATGTAAATGATGTTTTGCCCCTGGATTTTTTGTTTTGATCTCCTCCCACTGCAGTACACAGAATTGGCGCATCAGATATGGGGGGGGGGGGTCAATGTATAATTCTTGCCATTACTAACCTCAGCGCATGATTTGCTGAGACCGTAGCTAAGACTACCCGCCATCTTTGCTGTAGAGTTTGCCGCGCCATGTGTCACGTTTTTAAACATTCCAACTAGACGCCATCTTTATTCTTGGTTCCGTTTATTTTGGACGTATGTTATTTAAGTAAAGGGTGCAGGGGTGTATACAGGAATAAATCAGGGGCAGGGTGGAGGGGTGGGGGGATTTTAAGAGGACACCAAAAATTCCCCCCCCCCAGGAATTTTTTTACAGTAACGTTAAGGGACTTAACATTTATTTTATTTTATGTCGTGTTTTTCACTTTTCTACGGGATAATGAGATTTCTTAGAGTCTTTGACGGGGATCTGCCCCATTATCCCTGTATACGCCCTTTTCAGAATGTCTCAACACACATGGAACTACAATGTTTACGCTAAGCAAAAGCAAACTTACAACTTACAACTAAACAAATAATTATTTTGAAAAGTTTACAAAAAAGAATAAAGCTATTCCTAAGTTTCCGTCTGATACCAACTCAGAAAACCCCTCGGATACATCATTGATGAACCCTAGATAGATTTGTGGATAGAGCTAAGATAGTAGATAGATGGATAAACATATAGATAAAAATAAGGATAGATCGATGTTTTAAATAAACATAAGAGAAAATGTGTGTAAATAACATTCTTGAACTATTGATTATATTCATCTGTATCTTCTGCAAAGATATATTCAATTAACTCGTGTACAGATATTCTCAATAAACTGCTCCATAGATGTACTTAATGCCCTACCGTAATGTACTCAATACACTTTGTACAGATATACTCAAAAAACTCCTATACAGATGTACTTTATAAACGTCTGTACAAATGTACTCAAAAAACTTCTACACAAATGTACTCCAATAAACTTCTGTGCAGATGTACTCTATAAACTTACGTCAAATGTACTCAATAATCCCCTCTCACCTAGTGGATTGCCGAGGAAATCTGTGGAGCCAAGTATCAAAACAGCCTGTTCAGTACAATCAATCAATAAACTAAATATTTAAAAAATGCGATTGAAATCAAAATACACAAATTATTACTTCCCGTCTTAATATATTTGTTAAAATATCCTAGATTTGAAAAAAGTGATTGAAAAATGCCATTTACACTCAAAGCGCGCTGAAGGGAATAGAGCCACTAATTTAATTTTTCAAATCCCTATATCTTTGCAACCTGATGGTGTAAACATTTGATATTTTAAACTTTGATTATTTATTCTAACAGAATCCATAGTTTGCAATATCAAAGGTTTACGCAAAAATAAAGGGTTAAGAAAATCAGATTCAGTGGCCAAAGACAGAATTCATTTGTAAACATAAAAAGATAAAAAGTAAAAGATTTATTGAATCGATTGATCGTACAGTCCTGTGAGATGAGTTCATCCTGATAATGTTTTATAATTTCACTGCTCAGAAAGGGAAAGGTTTCGAAAAGATGAGTTTTACAGAATGGATCAAGTTCTATTGAGGCATCCTCAAATGTGATCAAACTGAGCCCCAGCTTCTTCTTAGTTTCCTGCAAACAAGGAAATATCTAAAAATCTAAATATGTATGGCCTTAGCTGGGAACTATAGAATGGTGGATATCAGGATTAATTCTTAATCCTCTCTTTTTGCTAATCTCATGATTAATTATTTAGATCAACAAATCTTATTCTAGGAACGCCAGATGTGTTCGTTTTCTTGACTGGAAGGGCCTTCCTTCATTTAATTACTCACCCATATATTTATTAATACATTAGTTAAAATTACTTAAAAAAGGATCTTTAAAGTATTATTACATATTTTTTTCGCTGATTAATTTACAAAATGGCCGACAACAAATTGTCTATTTGTTAAAAATTGCGGAGGTCTCTTATAATATATATATATATAGGCTGTCATTGGTCAATACAATTTATAATCTACATTCCTGCAATCTCATTGGAGAAATCAATGTTCGGATATCCAAAAAGAGAGAAAAAGAGTGGATTTCAGACTAAAGTTAAAAGTTTCCACAATGGATATTTGGATTCAGCAGTCGGGATTAAAGGTTATCCATTGGATTGGATTGTTTGGATCCAATTCACATGAGTCCGGGCCTTGCATGATCCGACCCAGTACCAGTGTTCACACGTACCAGCCCGTCTAGTGTACCCAGTATGTGGTCGACCCAGGGCGATTTATGGGGATTAGCAACTAATTTTTCAACTAATTTTTTTTTGTTTGTTCGGGACCTTTTTAGGTTAATGGCAGAAAAAAAGGTTTTAAAAATTTTACTTTAAAAATCTTATTTTTTAAGGCCGTCAATAAAAAATAAAATAAACGCTATAAACATTTTGTTTCACAGCCAGTTTAAGCTTTTTAAACTAGACATTTTCTACATTAAGACCTTTAAAATAATTTACAAATTTGTTCCATCAAATGCCTTTTACAAGTCAAACTTCAACTTATTTCAGGATTTCCCTGAAAAAAATATTCAATATTTTCATATTTTCATAGCACAAGTTTGGAGAAAAATATTAAATGTTTTAACAGAAAACCAAAATTCATTGAGAATTAAATGTTTTAAACTTAGAAACAAGTGCAATTTTATTATTTAAACATACAAAATTTAGTCCATGAAATAATATGATGATAATATTAAAGTTTTCCACGGAACATTTTGAAAACTGCTGTGAGAACCAGAAAACTGTGGATTAGGAAGACGCATTAAACAAAACTTTGTATAAATCACTTATTAAGTGAAATGGATCTGTTTACACTGCACATTTGCGGTGTCTCATGTTCATTGACTAATTAAAGACATAACTTGAAATTAAAAGCAAAGATTAATGTTGTAGGAAAAAGGAATCGCGTTACGATAATTCGCTGATGTGTTGGGTCCAGAGGCGATAGCTTTTATTCAAACCCCCTCCCACCTACCCCCTCCCCCCTCAACCTACCTACCAATTGCACATCTGAAGCTCATATATTAACATTAAAAAATTAAGCTGTTGAATGTTGGCATTAAATAATTACAAGAACCATTTCCATTGTTAGGCATACAAAATTATAGAAAAACTAATTTACAATTGTGGCATAAATAAATGTAAGTATGTAAAGGAATTAAAGTAAGTATACTTGTAGAAATTAATAAAAAGTAAAATAATTTCTGCAATATAAAAACACTAGGTAGTAGGTATGGGACCCATAAACACTATGAAATAGTAAGATGATATTTAACCAAACTTAAGTGTATTTGATGTAGATTTGAAGTAGATAATTGCAGATCAACTTAGTAAGTGAAATGGGTCTGTGTACATTTCACGATTTCTGTTTTTTTGATGTTCATTGGACTATACAATATTCCACAGTTTTATGAACCCCACTGTAAATTGGACTTTACAATATTCCACAGTTTTATGAACCCCACTGTAAATTAGACTTTACAATATTCCACAGTTTTTTGAACCCCACTGTAAATTGGACTAAACAATATTCCACACTTTTATGAACCCCACTGTAAATTGGACTAGACAATATTTCACAGTTTTATGGACTCCACTGTGAATTGGAGTATACAATATTCCACAGTTTTATGGACTCCACTGTAAATTGGAGTAAACAATATTCCACAGTTTTATGGAACCCACTGTAAAAAGTAAAAGCAAAAATAAAAAAGGATAAGATAAGAATAAAGATAAGAACAAAAAAGAACAAGAACAAGAACAAGAACAAGAACAAGAACAAGAACAGGAATAAGAATAAGAATAAGTAAAAGATAAGATAAGAATATATTAAGGATTAGAAATATTTAAATCTTATGCAATTCAAACAATTTAATTCCGTAGGATTATATTAAACCTTGACACACCTGTACCTAGTACCAAATAAGTATTAATCTAAATATATATATTCATTTATTGTCTGTTTGTATCAAACAAGGCCGAAGCAGCTGAACCGTTCGGGCCCAAATTTTGTGTGGGACGTCACATGACCCCAGGGAAGGTTCATGAATGCTCAGAATTACAAAAAGTTGTCTCCAAATCTTTTGATTTTCGTAAAATTTTTTATCCGAAAATTGTTTATTTTGGTTTTATCGAAAAGAAAATGCCAAAAGATTGAGCAACAATTAAAATTTGAAATATTAGATGGGCTTGAAGAGCCCTAATTTAGCCTAGTATGAATATTTTTTGATTTCATTACTTTCACCTTTATCGAAAATAATTAAAAGCCAATTTTTCAAAACTATGTAGCTAGAATAAGAAACCGTTGCCAAGCAATTTCGTTTTTGAAAAATTTATGTTAAAGATATTTTCAGTCAATTTGTTAGCTTTTTCAATACTCATTTAACCCTTAATGGACGAACGAAATTTGTTAATTTTTATTAAAATTTTTTTTTCTCGCAAATTTCGATGCATTTTCGGCCTCAATTTCGTTAAATTTTCGTTCGATGAAAATAGGAATTTTTCCATTTCGCATTTAGAAGATTGTATTTTTGCGAAAAAAATAAGATTTTGAACAAAAGGTCGAAAATATTTTTAGCGAATTTCACGAAAATTTCAAAAGAATTTCGCGAAAATTTCAAACAAATTTCGCGAAAAACTTTAAACAAAAATATTCGCGATAATGGACGAAATTTTTCGTTTTTGTTCACATTTTCGTTGGCTGAACGAAATTTTCGCGAAAGAATGAAAATTTGGAAACCCTATTTTAAACCTAATTGGGCCTTTTTTACTATTTTTACTATATTTACGTTAGAACAGGAAGACAACGTTTCGACAATCTTTTGAGTATTTAATGTTTTTATAAACTAACTAGTTTCAAAAACAGCTTTAAAATCAATTATGACGTGAAATGGGCCTGTTTGTTATCTCCCTTTTTTATTTTCCCAACTCATAATGTCAGGCTCCAACCAAATATAAATTGTACAAACCTGTAAATCCTGTCGCAGCTTGTTAGACTTCTGTACACTTAGTTTTATCTGGTTTAGAGTCAGCTTCAAGGTTCCAATATAATATCTGGACAGCTGGGGACTGGACGCCATCTTGGATAGAAGATGATCCAGATTGTTGAAATCCGCTGTTTCATCATCTTCCACGTGGGCCGAGGCGAGGCTTATGAATTTATATAGCTTGTACAGCAATTCCTCCTGGAAACAAAGTTGGAATACATTTTTTTCGGAAAAGGTATTATTTTAAGTTGTGTAGCCTGCAGGTGCCACATATTTATGCTTTTACTGGTTATAGAAGTGGTCCTTGGAAATTTAAATAAAATTCATGACATCTAAAACATGTCACCTTATCAAAATGTAAGACTGTGAATTGAAATTAAACAAAACCTTTCTTTGCATTGTAGTTTTGGCGCTGTTGATTTATTTAATAAATTGAAAATTTTTACACGAATTGCCTGTGTTCATTTAAAACTAATAATTATTGCGTTACATTAAAATCTGGTATATAGGTGTCAGTGTCTTCCGACATTAATGCAGTTTAACCACGTGGGATTTAACTTCCTGGATATTCTCAAAATGGTGAATCTTTATATTTTTCACGTGATTCATTTAGTTTAAATGGATGTATGAAAACCTTTTCTTAACTCCCAGTAAAATCATCAGGGTTTGTTTATTTGAGAATGTTATCTAAGGATTTTCCAATAATAATAACCGCCAAAGGTAGGAAATTAATGTTAATTAATAACACAAGTCTATTCTCAATCAACATTTCAATGACAAAAAGTCACTAACCCATGCACTGCACAGTAACAGTCGCCTGGACTAATCCATCTCAAGACCAGTCCAGTATAGACCAAGAATTTCTAATATTATTGATAATAATCAAAAAAAACTTGCTCTATAGTTGATAATAATTAATGATCATATCATTCAATTCACTGATTAATATTTCGGAATAGAGTAGAAAATATTTATTTTTCATCATTTTTTATATAAGTAAGCTCAAAAAAATTATCAACAATTTGGCAAATTTAAACAAAATTAGCCAATAAAATAATTTAAAGATTCCTGTAGAGTATAGACTGCATAAAAATAAAACATGTACACTCCACAGTGCAGAAACCTATTTTACCCTCTTTACATGCCGTAAAACCAGAAATAAAATATAACTATGTAGAAACGAGATTCTCATTAAAGAAGATTAAAAATAATCAAATAGGAACCTTTTTATAAATATTTAAAAAAAGGTTCAAAACCGATTAGACCACCGCTTTCATTTTATATCAGCTAACTGTAATAATTTGTGCCAAAAGATGATTAATTTTTACATTTATCCAAATTGTTTTTTTTTTAAATCTTATTCTCTACAAGTTTTCTTTTTTCAATTTATGCAATATTTTGACTCTGGCAGAAGGATACGAGATATTTACGGAAGAAAAAAATCAAACCGTTTACGGTTCGCTGATGGTTAGTTTTGACCCCACTGAGAATCATTCAAGAATCTTACCTCTATGTTAAGGGTGAGGTTCTTGACGGTGAGGATGAAGTGTTTGAAGATCTCAACATTATGATTACCCGGGGTGCCCGGGGTCCGCTGAATACCAAAATGCATGGCAGGTAGATGACGACCGTCATCAGATTTATTAGTCGGGGATAGGTAGAGTAGGACAGGTTGGACAGAGTCACATACCTAGTCAATCAAACAGGGATCAAGGATAAAACAATCAATCAATCAAGGATGAATTATTGAATCAAGGATGAATCAATCAAACAGAGATCAATTAAACAAGGATGAATCAATCAATCAAGGATGAATTAATATCAAGGATAAATCAATCGATCAAGGATGAATCAATCAATCAAGGAAGAATCAATCAATCAAGGATAAATCAATTAATCAAGGATAAATCAATCAATCAAAGGAAGAATTAATCAATCAAGCATGAATCAATCAATCAAGGATGAATCAATCAAGGATAAATTACACAATCAAGGATCAAACAATCAATCAAACAAGGATCAAATAATCAATCATAGATTAATTAATCAATCAAGGATGAATCAATCAAGGATCTATTAACCAATCAAGAATAAATATATCAAGGATCAATCCATGAAGGATAGATCCAAGGATCAACCATTTAAAGATACGTCAATACACTAAGGATCCATTATATATACACTCCAACAACCAAATGATCAAGCAAAGCAAACAAATTGAGTAGATATTCATCAATAAAAAAAACTCAATCAATCAATCAACAAATCAACAAATCAATCAATCAATCTAATCAATCAATCAATCAATCACCTTGATAGCTGCTAATTACCTGTGTATCAATCTGAATATTCTGAACGGATCCGTCCACCTGAACAGCTGTTGGTAGCTGCTGGAAGTCTATTACAATATTGCTTAATGTTATGTACAGTAGCTCTTCTCCAGGGTATCTGGTACAAGGATACTTCACACTCAAAATATTTTAAATAAGATCTTAAATTGCAGTTTTGCCTCTGAAATAAACCAGGCTTTAGGGTGCTTCGCAACCCCTTCTCTATCATCAGATTTACCGCATAAATATTGATCTTCAAATGATAATTGTTTCGTCCTAATTGAATGTAAAACTGAATATTTAGTGTATTTTTCGATGTTTTAAAAACATTATAAATGTTTATATTTTTCCCCGGGCCAAATTTGTCAACTTATTCATAACCCTCTCCTGTTACCACAACAAATTTGGACCCGATTGGTTCAGCCGTTTATTGGATACAGACAGACAAAAAAAACAGACAAACCAACTTATAAATGGATGAAGTTAAAGCTATATGAAAAAATAAAACATCACCCTAAAATCTGGAGATAGTTGTCAATTTTCTCGTTAATGATATCCCCCCATTCTCCTTCAAGTCAATAGCAGACCTCTTTATATAATCAATTCCCTGGTAGAAAATACAAACTAATTACC